GCAGTTAACTGCTGCTGGAGGGTCGGCTATGGGTTGGTTCTGATGTAATGATACATAACAACAAAGAAATTGCACTCAACACTTACCAGGCCTCTGATTCAGATGGGTTCTATGCAGTTTGCCCATTTCCTCCTGGAAGAGATATGAAATCACAGGAGTAGAACAAAACTCAAAATTACAATCATGGCCCAGATTACTGGTATACAGGGGACTACCAGAACCCCTGAGATGATGGTGCTTCGCTTCTCTTTGAGGCTGGAGCTGAACTCACCTCTGTAGCACCACTTGTGGCCAGATAATAGACAGATTTATGAGATGGATGATTGCACAAGAGAGGGACTTGGTCCTTAGAACAGGTAGCCGCACAAGATCACAAGGACAGCTGTGTGCAAGAATAAAACTCAGAGGGTAGGAAGGAAGATGATGGAGGGATGAACGGCAAAGAAGACACAGGCGTAAGAGGAAAGACATTACTGAAAGTAAAGACTGAGAGAATCAAGACAGAGTCTCTTCTAGCTACACCGCGGATGAAGCTGGGTTGAGAAAAGGTACCTCCAAACATTATATGTGGGTAGGCAGGAAAGCCTATCCATTAGCTTTTCAATGGCTGTTCTAGGATGTCAAGACTCAGTGCAAGCCTTGCACAAAAAACCAGGCTATTCCTCTGCCCTTTCAGTGGCCAGGCTAAGGAGGGCTCTTCTCCTTGTCTCACTCTCCCCTGGCCAGACCAGTTTTCTGTAGTGGATAAGGGTAACAGGGTCCCAGTTCACAATGAATGAGACAGCTGTGGCACTTTGAATTCACTAAGTCTTGCCCATTTCTCTAAGAGAAAAGCTACAGACGTGCTTCTATGGAGGAACTTCTCTTCTTTTGAACATTCCCTGGCAGAGCTATCAGAAAAGGCTGCGTTACAGCACACAGCACTAGCCAATCACATCATGTGGTCACTGGAGCTTGGCCATCTCATTGCTCTTTGCTACATCTGGGTTCATTTCCAAGGCACTTTATCAACGTAATCTACCCTCCTCATGTCCAAAAGCAGTGAGAATTTGGAAAGCTGGCAGGGAAGGAGTGAAGTATTTGATTCCCATAGAGACAAAGTAAAGCTAAACTTTTCATGGACATGCTCGCAGTAGTCATTCGTAAGGTGTCATTCAAGTCTTGTAGTCTTTTCAGGGCCAAACGTGCTCTTAAGCAGAGCAGCTGCTGTGAGACCAGATACATGGAGAAAGCAGTTTACAGTGCATGCTGGGAATTATGTTTCCTCCTAACAATGACAGTATTAATACTGATATAACAATGGCAGTCTGACACACTTTGGACATGTTGTAAGGAGGGACAGGTCCTTGGAGAGGGACGTCATGCTTGGGAGGGTGGAGGGACAGCACAGGAGGGGAAGGCTCTCTATGAGGTTGATCGATTCAGTGACTGGGGTAATGGGGGTGGGAGTGTTGGAGATGGTGAGATTGGCACAGGATTTAGGGCTGTTTTACATAGGGTCGCTATGAGTTGCAGGAGACTCAACAGCACATAACAACAACAACAATAACAACAATGACAGAAGTATTACTGATAGAAGCAATGATAGTAGTATGTAAATCTTTCCAGTTAATCTTTATAGAAGCAGATCACCTAGTCTTTTTCCCATGGAACAGCTGAGTGGGTTTGATCTTCCAACCTTTTCGTCAAGCACTTATGTTGAGTCGCTGGGGCACCTCAAGCTAGTGCAAAACAAAAAAGAAAGGGAACATCATACAAGAGTTCAGGCTGAAGAGCAGACTTCATCCTTTGCATAATAAAGGACTTAGGACAAGATAGCAGGAAACTGCTTGGTTTTCTCAGCAGCATACAAAAGCTTGAGTTTCTTTAAAAAAAAAATAGGAAATCATAAAGAAACAAGTTGAGATAAAAGGCAACAGAGACTAGGTTAATAAAGGAATGAGCAAATAGAGATGGTGATGATGATGATGATGATGATGATGATGATGATGATGATAGTGAGAAGAGTTTTTACTAGTTTCCAGTAATTTCTATATGCCACACTCTTTTGACATGCTTTTCTGGGCAAAGACTACTTTCTTCCTCAAAAGGACACACTGGGCAAGCTCTGGTGGCCTAGTGGCAAGAAGCTGCACTGCAATCCCAGAGGTGTATGGTTCGAATCCACCAGATGCTCTGCTGAAGAAGGGACAATCTTCTCTTGTACTAGTCAGATCTGATTTGACGGTACACACAGACAAAATAATAAATTAAAAAAAACACACCTTGAATACATACTATTCTTAGTGTTCCCTTTTTATAGTTGAGGAAACTGAGATAGGCTAACTAGGTTCTTCAAAGTCACCCACTTGGAAAGTGTTGGAGCCAGGACTCAAATCATTCAATTTGACTTCACAACCCATGCTCTAAATCATGAACTAAGGCAGAAGGTCAAGGAATGAAATTTATAACAGTGGAATTACGATCCTTCAAGGCAGTAAACAATGAAACTGAAGTTGTGGGCTATTAGAGTCAAACGTAAGAATGAGCAGCCCATCTACAGAGAGCAGAAACATTAAACAAGGAAAGAGAAAATAATAGTCATAGAAGTCACAGTAGAGTAGGCAATTTTCAGACAACTGACCTTTCTGAAAAATCAAAGCAAACCCACTGCCAATGAGTTGATTATGGATCAGAGGCTAGAATGGTAAGGAAGCCAAAATGTTGCTGTTGTTAGGTGCTGAGTTGAATACAACTTATAGTGGCCCTATGAACAAGAAGTGAGCCTTTTTCTATCCTGTGCCATCCTTATCATTTCCGACATACTTAACCCAGTGCTGCGGTCACTGTGCCAATCCATCTCGTTGAGGGTCTTCTTCCCTTTTACGGACCCTTCACCTTTGCTAGCATGAACCTCTCCTAACAACCTGCCCAAAGTATGAGAGATGAAGTTTCACTTTCCTTGACCCTCCAAGGAGAACTCTGGCCTCACTTTCTCCAAGACACATATGTTTGTTCTTTTAGCAGTCCTTGGGATATTGAGTACTTTTCTCCAACACCTCAATTCAAAGCTCTCAATCCTTCTCTGTCATCCTTATCCATCATCCAGCTCTCAGATACATAGCAAATGACTGAAAAAGACCAAGGCCTGAATCAGGTGCACCTTAGTCTTCAATCTGCCATTATTGCTCCTCAATACGTTGGAGAGGTCTCGGTCTGTAGACTTTGCCACTGCAACCTGCCTTTTTAAAAAATTTTCATTTTATATTGGTTTGCATCACAAGAGAAGGATGGGCAATCTCCTTCCATGCACTTAACTGCTTCTGAGAACCCAGTGGGGGATAAACTATAGGTCAATTTTGATCTGGTGGTACACAACAACGGTAACAACAAATGTTGTTGGCACAGAGTCTGCAGCAATTGGCTTAAGTGTGTCAGAAATGATAAGGCTGGCACAGGAAAAGAAAGGGCTCAGATCTCGTTCATAGGGTCACTGTAAGTTGCATTCAACTCGACAGTACCAAACAACAACAACAACAACATTATTGTAGCTTCCCTCCCATTATTCAATATTTTACCAAAATTTCACACTATCCTTCATTCACATTCTGTTTCAAACATTTTGTCCCACTCATTGCATCTTGTAAAACTAATCACCTTGAAATGAATAATAAATTTTTAAAAAAGGAAAAAAAACCCCAAACTAATCACCATTGAACTATGCCCAGCATTACCCCATCTTTTCAGATCCCCACTGAATCTTTTCCATTTCCTGTACATTCTCCCTTCACACACCAAACTGTGCAATCCTGTGATCTCCTGCAGCATGTCTTTTGATTTCTTGAATGCTAGTGCCAAGGGTGTTGACTGGAGATCTCAGTCAAACAAAATAATTAGTTTTCTTTCAATCTTTTCTCTATTTATCATGATGGTGCTTATCAGTTCAGTAGTGAGGGTTTTTGGTTTTTTTTTTATGTTGAGATATAATCCATATTGAAGGCATGAGACTAAGACAGGAGGTAAAAGAATGAAATATATTAACAGCCAAATTAAGATCCTGCAAGGCAGTAAAAAGTATAATTGAAGTTGTGGGCTACTGATTTTAATGGTTAAGAATGAGCAGCCCACCTATAAAGAGCAAAAATACTGAAACAAGGAAAGAGAATAGAATAGCTAGAATAGTTTTTGATCTTCTGGAGAAAGTGCTTCAAGTCCTTCCCACACTCAATAAGCAAGGTTGTGTCATCTGGATAAAAAAGCTATTGACACACAAAAAAAAAACCCAAAAACTAGTTGAATTTCTGCTGGAACAAATATTTTGTATTGTTATAAAAATAATTATAACACAATAATTGCCAGTTTAACATTTTTCAAACATACAATTTAACAAGTGAGCTCTGGGGGCCTACTGGTAAGAAACTGTACTTTAATCTCAAACACATGCAGTTCGAATCCACCAGCTGCTTCACAGATGGATGGGTAATCTCCTCCTCTATGATTAACTGCATGATAATATGATAATCCTGCTGGAGGTTGGTTCTGACTTGGTAATACTCAACAACATAATTTAACAATATAAATTCATTAACCTATTGTATAACCATCACCAATGTTTGCTCTCATATTTTTTATGGGTAATTTTTAATTAAAAGTACAATGTTCTATCACATTTGTATAGATAAAAGCAGTTAAAATGTTTAAGGTCATCCATCTCTTAAACACACAGATCAGCTCTGAAGAACCCACCATGCAAGTGATAGAATCCTTCTTGGTTTCTGTAAATGCTCCTTCCATGGTTCACGCTTTTTGGGTGGGTTTGGAAAACAGGATCCAAACAATTACAGCACAAGACACAAGAAACAGGAATGCAATCCAGAGACGCACGGTTCCAATCCACCAGATGCTCTGCTGGAGAAGGAGGGACAATCTCCTCCTGTACCAGAGAGATCCAATATGACGGTACACACACACACACACACACACACACACACACAGAGAAAAAGAAACAGGAATGGAATTACCATTTTCTGGGAAGATGTTGTTTTTGGTGAGTCTAACACTTTTGGGCCTTGGGTGGTTGTCATCCATATCCATGATCAAGTTGCGGAAAAACACATCAAATTTCTTTCTGCTGTCTGCATTGATGGTGCCAGCTATCGTCCACACCAAGGCAAACAGGAACAGGGCTTGCAGCCAAAGGAAGATCTGGAGACTTGTCAAACCTTCATTTAATTCACTGTCCTCCTCTTCCGCGGTATTGATTTCATCTAAAAGAGGAAAAAGGAAACCTCACAGCCGGGTGTGGAGTGATGGCCCAGACATAAAGGATGTGAACTGGCTGGTCTGTGCCAGTGCTGGACTGATACCAACTGAGAGGTCTTTCCTGCTAGACCATTTATCAACATCCATCGCTGCGTAACAAACGTAGCAAAGAGGCATTACTGTCCTCATTTGAGAGATGAAATTGTTAACATTAGAGAAGCTCTAGGTCACACAGATCGTAGAGAAACTAGATTTTAATCCAAGTCTGACTCATCTCAAAGGCCCGATGTTGAGTGTCACTCAACCAGTGCTTCTCAAACTTTAGTGCGCACAGAACTCATCAAAGATTTCGTGAAAATGCAGACTCTGGTTCACTGGGTCCGCCATGGGGCCTGAAAGGGGTCTCGATATTTCTACTGTGTTCCCAAGGAATGTTGATGGTTCTGCTCCTTACAACTTTGGGGAATAAGATGCAGCACTATATTTTTCTCTTTATGATAAAAGGATAAACCCAAAGGGGCGGGGGAAATGAGAAAAAGATAAAAACTGTTTACCAAATGCTCCCCACTTCTTTTTAACATTCCTCCTCCTTCCTTTAAAAAACGTTGCCGCACACTTACATTGACGGCCATGCTTAGAAACACATTTTTTTTTCTTGCCCCGTCATTTGAGGCAACGTGTTAAACACATTTCCCTCTACCCATGCTGCCCATGGTTACCAGGAACCGTTGTGGCACTTTACCAAATTGGATCTCTTTGCTTTAGTCATTTCCTAGAATGTTCCTGCTGCTTGTCCTTTAAGTGACACTTATAAATATTTGGTGTTCTTGTCTAGTAATACTGAATATCCTTAATACCCAGATCTTGATTTCTAAAAACTCCTCCTCAGTATAAAAAAAATCAAGGCTTTTTAGAGAAGTGGTTGAGCCAGGAAGACTACAGAATGAGCGTGGAATGTCATGTAGTGGCAGGAAACAAGGAAGTTTTTTAAAAAGGATAAGAGCATTTTTGAAGGGTATAGGAGGAATCTGCCTAGAGGAGTTTCTTGTCTCTGGTTATATGAGCAACAAAATAATTCTGGTTTTGTATTATAAACCAGAGAATAAAGTAAATCTATGCAAGTCAACACACTGTCAAGTAAGTAAATAGGAAAGATGGTTGTTAATTATAGGAGAATTTTAATTAGGAAATGAATGAAGACTAGAAATAGAAAACAGAAATGGGAACTTTCCATTAAGCACAGAGGTAAAGAGTTGCACAGTCAACCAGTAGACAGGTGGTTTGAATTCACTAACTCTCTAGGAAGCAAATGGGCAATCTCCTCCCAAACAATTTACAACCTCTGAACACCCACCGGAGGGTTAGGTATGAGTCAGCTCCTTCATTTCATATCTTTTGGGCATGTTATCAGAAGGGGTCAGTTCATGGAGAGACAGATCATGCTTGAAAAAGTAGAACGTCACCAAAAGAAAAGAAAACCCTCCATGAGATAAATTAATGCAGGAACCGAAACACCTTTATTTGCTGACACAGCATAACTCAAAAAAAGGAGGAGAAACAGCAACAAATGTCTGTTAACAATGGATGCTGAATGTATGAAGTGTGACTCTAGAACCATCCCAAGTTGTAACAAATGAAACTAAAGACATAAAGACCAACATGCTAGGAATGAGCGAGCTGAAATGGACTGGTACTGGCCACTCTGAATTAGACAAATCGGATTTAATTCACTATTGTCCACTATGCTGGCAATGAAAAAGCTCAGAAGAACATTTCAAGCTCTCTTCTAAAACACTATACTATTAGTGACAGGATCATATTCACAATAATATAAGAAAGAACTCTTTTTATCTGCTGGCAGCATACCCAAAAGGTTTAGATCCACCCTGATTTTCCAGGAGTGTTTTCCCCCTCCTTTATTCTTTCCTTTTTCTCTTTAACTCTTTCTTATGGCCCATCTCTCTCTTTCATCAACCATGTGTCTCTTACATTACTTTAATAGACCCTTTTCAACTTGTTTTGCTTAAAAAAACCCTCAAACAAATCCCAACCCAAACAAATAAACAAAAAAAGAAATACAAGAAAGATCTGTTAATGCAACTATTATTCAAACTTATACAACAACCACTAAAGCAAAAGATAATGAAAGAGGATTTCTACCAATATCTTCAGTCTGAAGTTAATTGAACACACAATCAAGATACATGGATAATAACTGGAGATAGAAATGAAAAGTTTAGAAATGAAGAAGGGTTGGTAGTCGGAAAATATGACCTTGATGATAAAACTGGGGCTGGAGATCACATGACAGAATTTTGCTTGTTGATTGCAAATGTCTTAAAAAAAAGAAACAGGCTGTACACACGGACCTGACAGAATCTGTAGGAATCAAATCATGAACAGCGGATAGATGATCTTCCAGCTTCTATCATATCCACCAAAAGAAATACGAAGTAAAGGGTAAGAATTGCCAAATCACTGAGCTGCATATGGCCCTGCTTAATTAGATGTATCAAAACAAATAACAATATCACAGTGTCTCAGAGATCACAGCTAAATTCAAATCAAACAAAAAATAGCAAAAGAGGTCACAAACAAATGACTAAAATAGAGTCAGAAAAACCTTTCATTGGAAGAAATGTTACTGAAATTCCCTGATGAGGAATTCAAACAAAGTACGTTCAAGTGTCCTAAAAAAATTCAGGGAACTCACAGACAAAAATTGAGGAAAGCAGACAAAACTCTACAAGAATTTAAAAAACACAATATAAGAACAAATTGATTAAATAAATGGAAAATTGTTGTTGTTATATACTTCCAAGTTGCCTGCAACTCATACTGACCGTATGTATAACAGCTCTGAAGCCTCCCCTGTTCTGAGTCAGTCTCATTGACTCCAGCCCACCTACCCCCCAGGGCCCCAGTCACTATATCACTCCATCTCATCTGGGGTCTTCTTCTCCTGTGCTGTCCCTCCACCCTTCCAAGCATGGTGTCTTTCTCCAAGAATCAGTCCCTCCTGGCCACATGCCAAAGTATGTGAGAGGAAGCTTCAAAATCCTAGACTCCAAGGAGAAACTTGGTTTCACCCTCTCCAAGACAGACTTATTTGTGTTCCTGGCAGTTGTTCATGGTGTGTTCAAAACTCTATTCCAGTGCCACAGATGAAAGGCATTGATTCTTCTTCTGTCATCCTTAGTCACTATCCAGCTCTCTGATGCATAACAAGTAATTGCGATGACCATGGCCTGGATCAGGTGCATCTTAGTCTCTAGACTCACATCGTTGCTTTTTAGCATTCTGGAGATGTCCCTAACAGTAGATTTTCCCAATGTAATGAATTTTTTAAAATTTCCTAACTAGTTGTTGTATTGTATTTGTCTATATTTCTAGAACCTCCCCTCAGGGCCCTTGTAGAAGAGGAGACTGGGGAGCACCAGATTGTGAGAGTTGGCCTCAAGGGGCAGAGTATACAGGAACAAGTTTTTTCAAAAATCAATATGACGATGCTCTTGCTTGCTACTAGCTTCTTTCCCCTTGCCAAGTTACTTGTATGTAGCAAGTGCTGGGGTGGTCTCAGGGCCTAGAGCTGCACCATCTTTGCTTTCCAGAACCATTTTTTTTTAATCCTGCCTCCTTCTGGCAGGTGCTGACTTGAGTACACCCTGCTACTGACCAGAACTTCACTTTGGAATGTAATGTCTTTGTAAATCCCCACCTTGCCATTATGAGCTGTCAGCCTCTTTATTTGGTCTCTCAGTACCGAAGGTAAAATTTCAGGTGACTGGTGCATGCCCAGACATAGGGGGGGGAAAGAGAGGTAGAAACAGAGAGAAATAGCCAAGCCACTTTACCCTCTCTTCAGCTTAAGGATTGTGGACAGCACTTACCAAGCAGGGAGGAGTACAGTCTCATCATTGAGAAGACAAGGTGGATGGGGGATGTCTGCACCACAAATCTACATTGAAGGCGAATAAATTCCAAGCAGGGCTGGACGAGCCACATGAACATGTCATTAACCTGAGAGCAGAAAGCTATGTGAGATCCCAGGGTGTTAACCAAAAGTAAACTGAAAACCAAGAGACTGGTCTACCTGCAGGAGGCTGGAGGTACTGGTAAGACTGAGGCGTACTTTTGAGTATGTGGGAGAAAGCCCATCAGCGCTTAGCCTCTGCTTCCAGTTTCCTGCTTAGTGTTTATAAGACAGTGTTAAACCTACAGGCTATGTTGATTCTGTTTCCCATTCCATGCCTGCAATCCTATTGCTCAAAGCATGATGATGTTATTGTGTGCCACAGAGTTGGAACTGATGCACAGCTGCCCCTCCAGTGGGCTTTCAAAGAGAGTTAATCACATGGGAGGAGATTTCCCATGTTTCTCCTGTGGAGCAGCTGGTGGCCTCGAATTGTGTGCCTTCAGGATTGCAGTGTAGTTTCTTGATACTAGGCCACCAGAGCTCTAGAAGCTACTATGATTTAGCAACAGAACCCATGAAATAGGTCTGATTTGTTTTTTAAAAATTGTTAGGAATCTAAAAAACCCACTTGGAAATAACTGCCCATTGTAAAACAGAAGATCTATCTAAAGTGGTCATAAGAAGAGCAGAGCTCACCACAACAAGATAAAGGTAAATAATCCAAGTGAAAAATGGCCACAGGATATGAACAGACACTTCACCAAAGAAGACATTCAGAT